TTTTTTTTTTTTTTTTTTTTTTTTTTTTTTGAGCTTTGAGTTCCTCCAGTACCCCAAAGGCTGTAATGTCCATATGATGGAACTGTCCAGGTTTTGACTTTGATGGCAGTTGGGCTGTTCCTAGCTTGTCCCACAGCCAGGTGGGTTCTCTTGAGCAGTTAACATTGGTGCCAGAAAGGAGAAACTAATGCAGCACTGGGGCTGTTACAATAATGATATCCCAGAAAGCTGGGTCTTAGTGCTTGCTCATTCTTCTGGCAGGGGGGCAGCCTCCAAGCCAGAGATGAACCCATCCTTCTGCTATAGAATCTCTCTGCCTGGAAGAGGGCTGTTCCAAATGTCTTGGACCCTTGCAGCAAGGCTCCACTGCTACAGCCAGTTGCTGACCACCTCCCATACTAGTATGCAAGGCCTATGCTTAGTTGTTCTGCAGTACTGTAACCAGACCTATAAACTTAGGGTGGGGAGAAAGTAGAGGCTTCCTTAACAAGGGAAAGAAATTAATTCCTGCCTACTGGATTCTGCCTTGGCAGGTTCGGAGCCAATGTTGCTTGTAGCAGTCCAGTCTGACCTATTGCTCTATGGATTGAGAAGTCTGAAAGATGATATCCTAGCTACCACTGACAAGAACTTGATTATCTTCTCTATTGACTATGACCTGGTAGAAAAGAAGGTCTTTTGGATGGATCTCAATGCAGAAAGTATTAAATGGATATCAATGGATGCCAAGAAAAAGGGAACTCTTGTGAAAGGTTAGCTCTGACTTCATCACCACTTCAAAATTTTCCTACAGCTTCCTACTACTAAGAAATGTCTGCAGTGGGAGTCATGGCTCAAGCATCTTCTTTTAGACTAGAAGATGTGCCAGCTTAACTGCTATAGCTGCCCCCCCAAAAAGCAGGAACTAAACTGGGGGGGCAAGGGAAGAAGTAAATGCAAGACTAGTGTTAGTCTTTAGCAGTTCTGAAGTCCTTAGCTGCTAGCAAAGTGTGCTAGGCTGTAATTGATCCTTGTTGTGTTCCAGGAGACTGGGCACTTTAGTGAGCCATGATAATTCAAACACTTGACCACCTTTTTTGGCATGGGGACACTTAATGCATGTGACTCTTTGCTGGCTTAATTTTTAAACTAGTGCTCAATGAGCTTTAACAAGTGCCATGCCACCACTTTTGGCACAGATGCTAATGTGATTGGAGCATGTTTTAACTTCTGCACTCCAGCAGACTTGACTAATTGAGTCTGCTCCAGAGTGCTGGACTAGCCTCTCTACACATGTATAAAAGCTGAAAGGGGTGTAACATGAGTAATGCTCAAGCACCATACCCCAGGGGAGACAACAGTTGGCTGAATTCCATCCCAGCCTACCCCCCCATTCATCCAAAAAATACCCTACCCTGAAAACTGCAGGGTGCTATAGAGTCCAGGATGTGAAATTTGAGTCCTGTTGCTACTTGAGTAAAATTTGGTGTCTAGAGTCAGGTGCTTGGGGAAGGAACTTACCTGCCCTCTAAGTGCAAGTAGGGTTCAAATGGGCTGTGTCAATCACTTGGGGCTCCTGAAGCACTACTTGTATAGAAAGCACAAACTATCAAAAATACCCTGCATCTTCTGACATCCTGCTGAAGGCACTTCTATTTCACTACTCCTTTTTAAAAGAGTAACCTTTAGTATCAACTTGTTGCAGGCATCAAGTCGGACTCTATTGCAGTAGATTGGATAGGGAGGAATCTCTACTGGATTGATGGGACTGCAGGGCAGCTGTTGGCCATGCAACTAAACGCTCCTTGGAGGAGAAATGCTGAGTACACAGTGGTTCTAGATGAGGATTTAGACCAGCCTCGATCACTGGTGCTCCATCCACTGAATGGGTAAGAGCTATATACCACACCAGCTGTCTTGAACTTAACTGGCTCACTGAATGTTCCAAACTAGCTGAGAACTAGAACTACACCAAGACTATGACTTGCTAGGTCAGCCTGCCCTTTCTCTACTATATCTGCAGCATGCACACCCACAGTCCATTTTTCTTCTGTACCTTTTTTTTATTCTTGACTTGCAAAGTAGCTGTGATACACAACACTCTCTCTTTTTTCCTTAGTCTTCATCTTTAGGAATAGATTGGAACAGCAGTGGTGGGGGGGGGGGGGGGGGGGAAAACTACAAAAGCACTGACATGCTAGG